AGCAACAGCAGCAACAGCAGCAGCAGCAGCAGCAGCAACAACAACAACAGCAGCAGCAGCAGCAACAACAGCAACAAAAGCAACAACAGCAGCAGCAACAGCAGCAGCAGCAGCAGCAGCAGCAGCAGCAGCAGCAGTTTACCTATGCATCCATCCTTTCTTAAAGAACTCGGGGGCCTGCGAGGCCCTATCCCGGGGCCCCACATACTCGCGTGAGGGTACTAGCGTCTGCACCGCTGCATCTCTATAGAGAAGCTTGGGGGCCCCCCTGGGGGCCCCCCTGGGGTCGGTGGGGGCCCCCCCCATACAGGGGCCCCCACAGCCAGCATTCATCACCATGTATTCAGTATAGATATCAGGCGCGAGGGTTTAGGGTTTAGGGTTTAGGGTTTAGGGTCTAGGGTTTAGGGTTTAGGGTTTAGGAACGATGCCTGCTGCGACCCACACATTCATACACAGACACTCTACAGCAGCAGCAGCAGCAGCAGCAGCAGCAGCAGTAGCAGCAGCAACAGCAAAAGCAGCAGCAAAAAGATTTGCTTTTTGTCGCTGCGTGTGTTGAGGAAGCTGCTGCTGTCTCTGTGTTGCTTCTTCTCTGCTCGTGGCCTCAGGGGCCCCCCCCCTGCTGCTGCTGCTGCTGCTGCTGCTGCTGCTGCTGCGGGTAGGAGAATAGGGTTTTGTTTGTAAATAAAAATAAAAAACAAAAGTTTATATTTATTAATTTATAATAATAAACACCAAACAACAAAACAACAAAAACAACAGACAAGCCAGGGGCCCCAGCACAAGCCCCGCAGCCGACCCACGGCATCTGCTGCTGCTGCTGCTGCTGCTGCTGCAGCAGCAGCAGCAGGAGGAATTTATTACTTATTTTTTAATTAAATAAATAAAAAAAATAAAAACAAAAAAGTTTTCTTAAGGTAACAAATGTGGAGAACTGCCGCTGCAGCGGCGCGGGGGTTTATCTCCCCGAGGTCCCCCCCAGGTGTCGATACACCTCGTGCTGCTGCTGCTGCTGCTGCTGCTGCTGCTGCTGCTGCAGCAAGGCCTAGTGCTGCTGCTGCTGCTGCTTCTGCAGATGCAGCAGCGCGGCCTTCCTCTTCCTCCAGGGCAGCAACGAGCCCGCCTCAGCTGCAGCAGCAATGCCATCGTCAACTGCAGCAGCAGCAGCAGCAGCTGCTGCTGCAGCAGCAGCAGCAGCAGCAAAGAGGGTTTGCATCAGAGAGTATTGCTGCTCTCTTGAAGCAGATGGAGGGGGACCCCGACGCTGAGGACTGCTGGGCGGGAGAACAAACCCGAGGAGTTGTTGCTGCTTCGCTGGGTAACTGCTGCTGCTGCTGCTGCTGCTGTTGCTGCTGCTGCTGCTGCTGTTGTTGTTGCTGTTGTTGTTGTTGTTTTCGCCGCTGCTGCTTGTGTTGTTGATACCTGTGCTACTGCTCCGTCCGTTGCTGCTGCCTATGCCTGCTGGTTTTGCTGCTGCTGCTTGTGCTGCTGCTGCTGCTGCTGCTGCTGCTGCTGCTGCTGCTGCTGCTTTCTCTGCTACTTCTTCCCTTGCTGCTGCAGCGGTTCGTTCGGTTCTCCTGTTGTGCTGCTTGCCGCTTTACTTTTGCTGCTGCTGCTGCTCCTGCTGCTGCTGCTGCTGCTGCTGCTGCTTCTGCTGCGGGTTTCCCTGTAGTGAACTCAGTAGCAGCAGTATCTGCTGTTTCTTTTGCTGCCATTCATACCCCTCATCTTCCTCCTCCTGCTGCTCTGCTGCTGCTGCTGCTGCTGTTGCTGCTGCTGCTGCTGCTGCTGCTGCTGTTCAGGGGGCCTCTACCTATGCGAGGGCCTCAGGGGGGCCCGCCTGGGGGACGCCGTGCTGCTGGGGGCCCCTGCTGCTGCTGGCGTTGTGCTGCAGCTGCACACGAAGTATGTGGTAGTGGGGAGACTGCAAGACTTCTCAGCAGCAGCAGCAGCAGCAGCAGCTGCTGCTGCTGCTGCTGGTGCTGCTGCTGATGCAGAGGCAGATGCAGCAACCGGCAGCTTCGATGAGCTGCTGCTGCGGCTGCAGCAGCAGCAGCAGCAGCAGCAGGTCATACCTGTGGACAGCCCATGCTCGCTTGCAGATGCTGCAGGCAGCAGCAGCAGCAGCAGCAGCAGCATCAGCAGCAGCAGCAGCAGCAGCAGCAGCAAAGTGTTCTGGGAGGAATGCGGTGTCTCCGTTGAGCTGCTGTCAGCTGCTGACGCGCTGCTGCAGCTGCAGCAGGAAGCAGCAGCAGCAGCAGCAGCAGCAGCAGCAACAACAACAGCAGCAGCAGCAACAGCAGCAGATTTGCCGCGTCCCCACCCCGCCCTCCAAACCTGGCGCTTCCAGCATCAGCAGCAGCAGCAGCAGAACAACAACAACAGCAGCAGCAGCAGCAGCAACAGACCCTTGCTGCTGTCTGGGTGGGCCCCCCTGGACAGTTTGCTGCCGCTGCATGCGGGCGATCTGCTGCTGCTGCAGGGGCCCCGAGCAGCAGGAAAGTCAGCGGTGCTGCTGCAGTGTCTTGCTTCGTGGCTGCAGCAGCTAGCAGCAGCAACAGCAGCAGCAACAGCAGCAGCAACAGCAGCAGCAGCAGCTGACACCGTGGGGGCAGCAGCAGTGCTCGTATGTATGGGGATGTCTCCTGCTGCTCTCAGGGAGAAGCTGCTGCTGCTGCGCAGAGCCCTCTACGCGGTGCAGCAGCAGCAGCAGCAGCAGCAGCAGCAGCAGCAGCAGCAGCAGATACAGCTGAAGGTGGTGTATGTACACCCCGCAGCAGATGATGCTGTCTCCGCCTTTACGGCTCCTCTTCTAGGCCTGCGTCTGGCGCAGGCGCTGCAGCGCAGCAGCAGCAGCAGCAGCAGCAGCAGCAGCAGCAGCAGCAGCAGCAGCAGCAGCAGGAATACAGCTGTGGTGTTGGTGGCTGACGGGCTTGAGGCTCATGAGGAGGGAGCAGCAAATGTTGCTGCTGTGCTGCAGCAGCTGCTGCCTGCTGCTGCTGCTGCTGCGGCAGAGAGAAACGCGAGGGGCCCTTTTGGCCTCCGCCATATAACATACGGTCTGCTTGCATGCGACGAAGCAGCAGCAGCAGCAGCAACGCAGCAGCAGCAGCAGCAGCAGCAGCAGCAGCAGCAGCAGCAAGTGGTTCTCCCCCTAACCCGTCTCTTC